AATAAAATATGAATAAAGATGTTGCTTTCTTATATCTTTAATTAGACAATGAACAAAGCAAGAACGCAATTCTTCCAAAAAGTTCTACTTATAGAACCACCTTGTAATACAGCGATACTTCTCATCAGGCGCGTTAGGGACTATTTACTAAATAACAAAAAAAATAATTATAAACACAAAAAACCACAAGACAATTCATGATTAATTTACTTTATAGGCCTTTATAACTTCTTTTAAATATTTGGTTACCTCGGAAATTATTCCCAGTTTCAGAGAGGAAAACACCTGCTCGAGTTGCAAATTCTTATTCATAACTAATGAAAATTGCTTCAAAGAAATAAAAATGATAGAGAAAAGCAAGGGTTAGTAATTTATAAAAATAAAAGCCAACTATAAACAACTAGAGCATCTACAAATGCAAAGTTCGTGAAAACGTAGAGAGCACCATTAGTCCTCACTTAAACAATACTGGTATAAAACCTAAGCGACAAAAAAGTAATGATCAACATGGATAACAGGTACACTCGGACTCTAAAACAAAATATACACATGAGCTAACCTGATTACGGTATTAAGAGTACATATTAAACGTTGCGTTCGTATGATAGGACTAAACAGTAATAGTGTTCTGTACATATTTTTGTTGATCTCAAGAAAGTTTTATATAAAATAATATTGTACAGGCTCTAGTGTGTGTGTGTACAGATTATAGTTGTCTTGTTCTTGATATAACTAGAAATAAAACCTGATAATGCTAGTAAAGTATTTATTTTAACAAATAATGTCTGTCGGGAACTCGTAACTAGAAACGGTTCGGAAAGAACTTGATATTAATGTAAAGTGTTGGGCATGGACAATATATTTAGTACAAATATATATAATAATTTGATATCTTTGTTAGAGATAATAATAAATTAAATTTTTTAGATTCTTCGACATAGGTAAAAAGTGACGTTTACAATGAGTTACAACAATACTAAGCGAAAACTCCCAACTTTTAGTTCAGGAACCCTTTGAAAGTACTCGAGACGAGAAACTGGGACGAACTGAGGGAAATCCGGGTCGCAGCATTATTCTACAACAAGTGGATGAACATAGCGAGATGTTTTGAACACAATAAGTATTTAACTGTTATGTATTCATTCATTGCTGCGAACTATTCCTTTATAAAATTAACCTCTTGTAAAATTTTAAATACAGTAACTTTTTTGTGTGTTTGTGATTGTAACTTGCCAAGTCAAAATAACTGTTCCTAATCCACAAGTGACCGATGTTCGAAAACACAGCTCTTGCTTTAGGAGGTTACCTAAGGTGAAGAGATAAAGATGAGAAAACAATATTCTGTTATCGGAACTTTACCATTGAAACGGGCGGATTTTAAATAAATTCATACAAATAATAACGGATGCAATATTTATGTTTAATCAAGACATCGCCGATAACAAAAAAGGTAACTAATAACTATATGTATATTGCACAACTTGCAAATGTTTACATGAATATTTGTTTTTGTAGTCTGTGACCAAAATTATCTTTAATCTGTGTTACGAATTGTCTGTAAATATGGACAAAGTTTTCCAGATACATGCGCAGTAGAGAAGCAGTTCCCTATCGAAACTTGGTGACATAACAGACTATTATTTCTGAGTAGGCAACTGGAACTCTTATTTCAAAGTTACGGAAACAGGTGGAAAAGGTTTCTAATTTACGTAATTAACTATCTAGTTCTAGTATTTATTTTGAAATAATTATATACAACACTATGCACGCGGTATGAAATATATAAAGAAACAATTACCCCCAATTACTCTTTTTAACAAGACACGTGGTAGAGCCATGCTGCAGCTATATTACGGTTGTAGCACGAATGGGTCGGCTCGACCGGGGAAGGACCACGCTCTCACAGAATACCAGCGTAAAATAGCAGCTTAACGCTACTATGTTTCATATGGTGAGTGTAGAGAACCGGAGACCATTTTTACTGGAAACGAAGCATTCCATCTTAGTCCTCACGGGTGACAACGCATCTGCATTTTGATTCGTAATCGAAGATAGATGTAGATGTTTATGGGTCACAGCAACCACTTACCATCAGGTGGACTGTGTGCTTGTTTCTCACCCTTATACTATTAAAAAAGACACGTACACACTTGGATTTTCTCCTATATAGTGGAATAGGTACGTTAAAATACATAAATTGCAAATAGATAAACATTATATCTATATATTAATCCGAACCTATTATTTGTAAGCGATACGAAACACTTCCCGTGTATAGGTCGGTAAGTATACCCACTACCCCATATCTACCAGTGGGTGTCGTAGCAGGCGACAAAGGGAAACTGAGGCAGAAGATCGGCAGCAGCATCTTTCTGATAACAACAAAATAACAATAAAAATTGCGGTTGCACACCCGCTCGACAAGCGTGGCAATTATGGCAATATACCCCCCATGAATGAATAAAGTTGTAGTGTTATGCTACTTACTTATCATTTTACATTATTTTAAATTCATTTTTCCCCCCGACCCTGGAAAATTTTGGTTTTAGGCTTGTAATAAGAAAACGGCAAGATTTAAGTGGAAAATGAGATATTATTGATATAGGAAAAAAGGTAGCGCAACTGCCCACACAAAGCCCGAGATTGTAGAGTTACGGAAAACTAACTAAAAGATCGAAAAAAGGTAGACTCCATTGACACCAATTTAAAAGTGCTGATAATGTGAAAATACGAAGTAGAAATGATTTGTTATTGTGTTCTTATGGTTTAAAATCGTTACAGGATCCTATGGAAATAAAGGTGATGTAAAATATCCAGTTTTGAAGTGAATGCAGAAAATCGAAACAGAATGGAAAAATGAATTTAAAATAATGTAAAATGATAAGTAAGTAGCATAACACTACAAAGTTACGAAGAGACGGCTCCCAGTCCCCGGCAGCCCCGCTATTCCTGGCTACGGTGGCAGGTGCTAAGAATCTTCGGTGGAGGTTCGGTTGCCACCTTAGACGACTCGACCTGGCAAACATATAACCACCCTTCACAAGTCCACTGCTGAAAATAGGCCTCCCCCAAAGAATGCCACAAAGCACGGTCCTGAGCCACCTGCTTACATCGACTTCCTGCATGTCTTACCAGGTCATCACTCCATCTAGTGGGGGGCCGCCTCACACCTCACCTACCGGTACAAGGCTGCCACTCGAGAACCTTGCTTTCCCATCGGTTGTCGGTTTTTATAGCTACATGGCCGGCCCATTGCCACTTCAGCATACTAATCCGTTGGGGTATGTTAGTTACTATGGTTCTACTGCGGGTAATCTCATTTCTCAGTTTATAACGCAGGGAAACCCCGAGCATAGCCCTCTCCATAGCTCGCTGAACGACCTTGAGCTTCCTCACACGGCCAGCAGTGAAGGACCACGCCTCAGTTCCATAGGTTCCATAGGACTGGCAACACGCACCAGTTGTACATTCTCGTTTTCAAGTTTTGAGGTATACCTGACGAGGAGATGTGTCGTAATCTCCTGAACGCTGCCCAGCCGAGTTGAATCCGTCGATTGACCTCTCGGTCGAATTTGGACTTATCTATTCGGAATATTTTCGAGTGGAATTTTATAACTCAATTTTCATGACATCCTTTATACATATGTACATACCTAAACACTGGTAAAACTAATATAAGCGTGTTAATAAAAATTGTCTGAGAAAAAGTCCACCAACAAGCATGGGAGCAGCGCGGAAGTCACTTCTTTGCCATAAAACCCTCTCAGATATGAGAGGTGGCTTGTTCCCAGGACTGGGCCGTATATAGGCTGTAACTTTACTTTAATGGTATTAGCAGAGAGAAAAAGTTAAAATATCTTTAATTGCAATTTCTTTAATGGCATAATAATTCTATGAAAGTGAAGGAAAGAAATTCTCAAGGTGCCAAAATATTACTATAACTGTCGCTTGCGTCCTGCTTAAAAATATTTATTTTAATCCTCTAAATAAGATAACACTGATGACATAATTGAATAATATTGTACGTAACGGAACATCACAATTAGGTTTACATATAAAGCTTTAGTATGTTAATTTCAAGCAAATCAGAAAAATATATAAGTATTGTAAAAAGCCTTTGTAAAACATGAAAAAAGGGTGAATATAATATGTATAATTCATACAGAACCTTTTTAATGTCACGATGTTAACGACACAGACCTTTTTCGAATTTAAAACGAAAATCCGAACTTCAATGACACATCTTGTCACGTACTTTGGCTACGAAATAATTTGATTTAAGCGTTACATATACAAAAAAGTAAATTAAATATATCACGTAAACATGGCGATGACAATTGGAGAAACTTTGAGAGTAACTCTATGCAGGTAATTGACCTTGAAGTCTATATTAATGCCTTCAGACAAAACAAATACATTCAAATATTTACGTTAAAACTCTTTGTCTCCTATGAAAGCAAAATTTTGATACGTAATCCTGAATTGATGAGGTTACGATATATTTTCTTAAGATAGAATATATATTAAGTATTTGTAAATGGTATATATAAACAAAATTACTAAAGTTTTTATTATTTTAATTAACTTTGTAACATCTTTATATATAAAAATTACGTGTCACGTTGTTTGCCCGCGATGGACTCCTAAACTACTGAACTAATTTCAATGAAATTTTGCACATTGTGTGCATTTTGGTCCAACTTGAGAGATAGGATAGTTTTTATTCCGATAAATGACACTCAAAACTTTTTATTGCGAATTTAAGGATATTTATAGGAAGGGTCGTTGGAAAGGGCTGAACGTCTGCCTGGCGAGCTAGTAATACAATAAATAAAATTTTAAATTCTTAGTTCAATTATTTTAAACTACAACTGCACTGAAAATCAGTATTTCATATTTAGATATATATACTAGATCTATATAATTCACGTATTAAGCAAATATTGACTTGAATACTCACTAAATAAATTATAATTAAATCTAAGAACAATTTCCAACAGCGCTAGAAACAAGCTACGCATTTTCAAGGGGCTTTCAGTTCTAACCAATTATTATGAAGCGGTGAGACAGAACCACGTGTTAAGTAATTACCGCATTCTCCGTGAGACAACTGTTGGAAGCAGGAAGAAGAGCAGCGGCGCTAAGAAACCTCCAGTGCCAATTCATGGCAGTAAATCTTATAAGTTGGGAGAGAATAGGCGTTACTCGCCGTTTCACTATCCTGGACAGGTGAAGTCAATTGCATTTAATAAATAAGGTATTTAGGTTCGGCATTATCGAATGGACATACCATTGCTAGTCGATCGCCAGAGCCTGGTTTAGCTAGCATTGGCTAGCAAGTAACAGGGCGGTGCAGCAAAGAAAGTGACACGTGGCAACTGTAATATCTTATGGCTCTGTGACACGACTGGGTCGGTTCCACCTGGAAGGACCATGTTTGCACAGAACACCAGCGTGAAATAGCAGCTCTTCGACCTCTTTACCCTTACTCGTTTCACCGATAGCCTTATCTACATTTGACACTGTACACACCTCATTTCAATAAAATTTTATACATAAGTAATTTTTTCTCGGATACGAAAATCTTAAAACGTTTGCATAATTTCAGATTATTCAGACGTCTGGAAGTGAGTGAAAACTGAGTTATCAAATTCTGTTACATTCATAAATACGTACAGAGCTTGTAGCTAGAATTTTCGTTTTTATACATTCCTATACAATTCATCCGTTTATAATGAAACCTTTTTTTTTTCAAAAACGGCCCTGCAACGCATGCCGGGCACATCTAGTTTTTAATATTATATAAAGAACTAAATATTTGCAATATTTCAACGAATTCCAATTTAAACAATATTGTTTATTCAACAGACAAGACCAGAGCACTGGCAAAGTGCGTCGAACCGATTACTTTTCCTTCTTTTATACTCAGCAAATATTTTCACAGATAAAGAAAGATTTGAATTGAGAAATGTTTGAAAAAGAAAATGGCCTGATTTTGTATAATTCATGTTCTTAATGCCAAGCTTTCCTAATTTAAATTGTTTTATAGTGACCTGTTATGATAAAAGAGCTTTCAATGAGAAAACTGCAATGAGAAAATGATAATTTTTGCGAGCTTTATGTAAATATCCAAAAAAAACTAAGCTAAATGAAAAAGAAACGGACATAGGGAGAAAGAAATGCTTAAAATTATGTTTTGTTTTCCTTTATATGTTTTTGTTTGAGTTAAAAAAGGTTACCGCCACACTAGGATTTTCTCCTGTATCGTGGAGGCAGTTTACAAACATAAATTGCACGAGGACAAACATCCAGACACGGAACAATTATTTGTAGGCCATACAAATACTTGTTCCGTACGCTATACAAACCCGCGGCCTCCAGCGCAACAACTCACTGCAAAGCCCCTGCGCCACGGAGCCGTTAACGTGTGATGTGTTATGTAATGCAAAGTATGATTGAAATATGACCGACAATTGGCACAAATTTAAATGATTCACTATTGGGTTTATTGGGTGTTTCGTTATTTCGGAAAACTGCCGTAAAATACCAATGTATAAAATTAAAAAAAAATGTTTAATCATCAGCATCATCCACTTGATTGTTTATTGTAGAATTTGTGTATGTGTGTAGTGATTAAACTAGCAAACAGTTTAGTACTGCACTTCCTGTATCATTTTATAGTGTACAAGAGTCTAATGTTTTGGTGTATTTTTATAAGTGTGCTAATAATACAAATATAATTTTGAAACTGCCTTAGTTTAGGATTTTATGTTTCAACAATGAAACCTACCTCCTCTTATCCTACGTATAAGCGATAAATTGGACTTTGGTAGTCCGGAATACGTGACTCTGGTTGTTTGTGTGCATTTTGTAGAACAAAATATCCAACAGTAAAACGTACTTAATGATTTACGCGTAGTGTTCGCACACACATTGAATAAAATCCATAAAAATAGCTTTTATCAAAGTAAAACGTACTTTTAACATTTATATGTCCAACGCAGTTGATATACTTCATAGAAACAATAAATAAATTAAATGAATAGTCTTCATTACTTATAATAACGTACATAGCACGTAAAAGGACAAAATTTGATTAGCAAGCGTGTAATGCCCCAGGTCAGTACTAATAAGGTAATAAAACTGTCGAAGCCAGCTCGGCACTGCATTGGTTTCTGCTATGGTTCAATTAGCAATATGTCATGTAATATCTGAACCTAATTAACTGAATCGCTACGGTTCATAGTGCGTCAGCAATAGCTATACTTAATAAGTTGTTGTTTAGTAAAAGAGTATAGATGTGCTATCTATAATGTAAGAAGTCGTCTTGCATAAGCTGATCAAAACAGGGAGGTACTGATATGGAAGCTATTTTTAGCCGTTTTTGCATTTTTAATTTATACTGCTTAACGTGTCATATGTTTTTTATTTGTTTGTTTAGCTACATACATTTTAATATCATGAGTGTAAGGTTTAGTTTATAATGAAAAAGAGGATAGATGTCTCAACTCTCAAGTAATCTCTATATATAAAATCAATCGCTGTCCGTTAGTCTCGCTACAACTAAAAAACGACTCGACCGATTTTGATGATTTTTTTTGTGTGTGTTTGAATGGGTCTCTAGATGGTTAAGATTAACATTCAAGTAGCGCTATTTTTGAGATACATAAATAACCTGTACGAAGTCGGGGCGATTCGCTAGTAAATAAATAAATAAATACTTTATATTAACGCAAAGGTCAATACAGAAGCAGTTTTCTTAACTTAAATATTTACAAGCCTTTATTATACACCATTATAATTTATACGTGGTAGAGCCATGCTGCAGCTATATTAGTAGTATAGTTGTAGGACGAATGGGTGGGCTCGACCGGGGAAGGACCACGCTCTCACAGAATGCCAGCGTAAAATGGCAGCTTGACACTGCTGTTTCGTATGGTGAGTGTAGAGAATCGGAGACCCATTTTACTGGAAAAGAGGCATTCCATCTTATTCCTCAAGGGTGACGACGCCTCTGTATTTTGATTATTTATTGAGAATAAATGTAGATGTCTATGGGTCACAGCAACCATTTACCATCAGATGGAATGTGTGCTCGTTACCCTATCCTATTAAAAAAATTATTTAAATGTTTTAAAGTTACATCTTGTATCACCTAACGTTTTGGCACCATTACGTTTTCGGTTTTATTAGAAAAAGTAGTTTATAGTTTAATATCAGGTTTAAATTAAAATTCTTTTCACGAAAGAAATCCAGTTGAAATTTGCAAAATAAAATGTAACGCACGGAATTTCGCGCAGTCTGTGGCGCCGCGGCTAAGGGACATCTTTGGTTAGAACAGTGGTTCTTAACCGGTGGTCCGTAGACAAATGGTGAACCCTAAAAGTACTGGAAGTGGTTCCCGAAGGCATCATACAATTCTCTCACATACAGAACAGTATACAGAACTCCTGGAGATGACAGTGAGTGTACAGTCAATACTGTCGATACGGTTTCTGTATGTGTTGCTACATTAAATATAAGTGGCGCAATATGAAATCCCTTTCCACTTTAAATTTTCTGTTTTATTAAGAGAATAAACTCAAAAATCTACCTTACCATTATACTACATAATATAAAAGATTTTTTTGGTTGAATACTATTTCATCTTTTAACTACGCTGCGTGCTAGCATTTCTTTCATTAATTTTATTAATTTATTACTAAAACTATGAGAAACATTACATATATATTATCTACAAAGCTTTTCAAACATAAATTCCACAGAAGAAAAGATATATCCGATACCAACCTAAGATTGCAGGATGGCTCGGTATAAGTCGGAATGAGAGGGGATATTGGGAATTCAACTCGTACGGAAACACAAATTATTGGATAAGGCTGTGATACGATCCCGAAATACCTTAAGACTGCGTGTAGGACTGTGCGGTTTTATATATATTTTTTGAATAAACTGTACTTACTATATTTGTGCTATTTTGTGCCTATAATATTTTATTAATATTTTAAGTTAAATCAAAGCTAACAAATATTGAGGGATATGTAATTTTAAAGCTTTTAAATTTGAGCTGCATCCGACACTGATCTGTTGTCGAGACGAGATTTTTTATCCGGTATATTATAACAAACTTGCTTAGTTTGTTTATTTACCTTATATAAAATTATTATAATTAATGTTTTTCACTGCTCTAAGCCGTGCGATAGAGGCGTTGAAGAATCCATCCATATTATTCCTCGGGTGTCGTAACAGGCGTCTTGAGAAATACAGTAACATCTCACGGCCTCCTCTATACATGGCAGTATACCCATATTATATACCGTTATCGTTACAGCCTATTACAGACCACTGCTGAACATAGGCCTCCCACATAACTTGCCTCATAGAATGGATGTTTGCCATAGTTGCCATGCTTGGCAAGCGGGTTGGCAACCGCAGTTTTTTAGTTTTAGTCGTTATTAGCTGCCCATGTCCTGATTCGTTTTCCCCTGCCGACTCTTACGACACCCACGGGATGATATAGGTCACTATCTTATATACCAGATGTAAATTATCCAGACCGGTGATGGTGACTAATAGAGTTTATAAGTCTGGGATTGCGGTCGCTAATCCACCTGCCAAACGTAGCGTTTATGGCAAATCCTCACAACTGCGCGGGAGTCTTATTATGGTAAGGAGTGAACTGTTAAGTATCTACTGATAAAAAATATAATGCTACAACACTATCGATTACGAGGTTCTCATTTAAAAAAGATTTAAATTGAAACAATGTGGCAATAAATGACCTTTATCAATCGGCCTTCGCCCTTCGCCCCTTCGTATATAACATATCAACTGCGTAATACAATCGGAATGGGGGAAATTAATGCATAGTAATACTTTTATAATTTCTCTCCAACGGTTTCTACCGAGGACTCACTTTGAAGGTACATAGGTAGAACCATTCTCTTATTCTAACCAATCTATATAGAATAGAATAGAACAATTTTTTATTCAATATAGATCACATGTGTAATTCTTATTGTAAGTCATTTTTTACTTTACCACTGGTTCGAAAAAACCTTCTGCCCTGGGAAGAACTAGCAAGAAACCCAGCGGAACTTTTTTAAAATAAATTTTACAATATAAATGGTTACAAACTATTTACAAAATTTATTTTAGAAACAGCTTGGAAGCGACCACCTCATTCCCAGGGGGTATTATCAATCATATATTCATTTATATTATAATAAATTAACCCTATTTATACAGTTTTTGTTTAGTTAAAAATTTAAACTTGGTAATAGAGAGAGCCTGTACACTTTCACACAGCTCGTGGTAGCTACCGGGATAGTAACCTGGGTTCGATCCCCGCTGGCACTAGTAAATTGGTAATTGCAATTTTAAGTGCCATTTTACCACTAGATGAAGGAAAACATCGTAAAAAAGCTTGCATTTTTGAGAAATTATAAAATTTTCGAAGACATGTGAAGTCCGTCAACTCGTATTGGGGCGGCGCGGCGGACACATCTTTGCCCTAAAACAAGTATTATTAAAATCGCTATACATTTAACGAAGATATTACGTACAAAAACATACAGTCGAATTGAGAACCTTCTCCTTTTTTGAAGTTTGCAAAAAATTTCATTCAAATCGTTAGAGAAACAAATTAGATAAACAAGAATCGCTCACATAAATATCTAAAGATATTGACTTTTTCTTGATTCATTCATACGATCCCCTACTCTGCACTCCAATCCAATTACGTACAAGTATGTAATTGGATAGAAGTGTAGGTTTCTCGAACTGAGCGGTATCTCCACATGTCTGTAATGAAGCGCGGGATGAGGATCAAGGGGTGGATTACGTTACTATACTCGAAATATTGGGATTAAGCTGAGACGTCATAGTAACTTTGTGCAGTAAGCTGATGATTTGGAGATAAATCGACTCGATAACTTTGGGGGAGGGGTAATAAGGGCGATAAGAAATTGCTACTTTGATGCAGACAAAGGCAATGTTGGGAGGCAATAGAGATTGCGTTGACGATTTTTCGGTAACAATGTTAAGGATGTTGTTAGTTTTGTTCCATGTGGTTATTGCTTATCTTGAGAACTGTGTAATTGGGGCTAAATTTTAGCCAGCCTTAAATATTTTGTAAATATGATGAATTAATATTGTATTTTATTGTATTAAAAACATAAACAATATTCATTACCATAGTAAAAAAACTAAAAAAACTTATATTATCATACAGTTCTACTCCCTGCGGTATAGTGCAAAGAACGCAAGTTGCTTTTCCTCGTTAATTGGCTGTACATAGCCTTTGAGCGAGAAAAGAACCAGCCCTCTTATTACCAGCAGCGACGAGCAGTCGCGGATGTAGTAGGAACTTCAGGAGACAATAGCTCTTCGGATAACATTGCCCAAGGAACCGTAACTGGACCATAACCTACTAGCACTTTTCTTACATGAAAGTGTGGAGCCCAAACTCGTCTACGCCGTTATAACAAGGACACTGAAGAGGTTGTCATATCGCCGCTCCTAGTCGGATTCTTACGGCTATGCGCAAACTTCGGCCTCCATCAACGTGCCGAGATTACTTGAATGTTTGCGCAAACACGGGTGCACTCTCTATTCCCTCACTCTAATAATCTGATAGAACGGCAAATCCATACGACCGGAGAGAGATGAAACACCACCATCACCAACTCGGGGCTGTTAATGAGAATTTCTTAACAGGAAAACCCGATAACTTATTCTTGGACCGACCTGGAAATCGAGCCAGAGAGCTAAATAATCTGCAGTCACGCTTACTGCAGACGGACTAGAAGACTCGTAGACATGAGTGTCTCAGCTTACACAAAGCGACCGTATCAGTTGGTCATATATTTACAAGGTACTTTTATACGACTGAGGAGAAGGAAATAAAAGATTGTAATATGGATTGTGCCATGTTAAATTGCATCGTAGTAGTTTATTGTAAATGGTTAGTTTTTAGATTATACTCGTAACAAACACATTAAAAATAGTTCAGATCAACGAATATAAGTTATTTTTTTAATTTGTAATATTTATTAAAAATTCAGACAAAAGCCGAGTGGGTAACGGCGCGCCTTGATGATATTCTGAACTGGGGGCGTAGCCGTTCACTGTGGCCCCTCACCTTCGGCCTGGCCTGCTGCGCGTTGGAGATGATGCATTATGCAGCGCCGAGGTAATGTTGGGAACTAGTTTTTTAAAATTTATTGACCTAACTAAGATACAGACTTTTGAGAATCCATATCCCTTTTTATTTTCCGGTAATTAGGATAATGTAAATTGTAATAATGTAAAATGGAAATAAATATAGTGAGTCATTAAGATGACTGAAACATACATTTATTCAGAATTCATTAAGTAAAAGTTTCACAAACTGCTAAATTATCAGTGGCAAACGACGGTCAGACTACTAATTTCGCCTTAAAAAGGGCATATAAATTTTCATTTCTTTAAAAAAAATTAAATAAAAAGAAAGGATGCGAGATACAACAAGCTTAAACGATTCCATTGTATTATTCCAAGCCGCATAACCGATAGGAAATCATTAAAAGTAACATTAAAGTAGTAACTGAAAATAATGTATATTTCCTTAATGTTTTTGCACACCTCGAAATAGAACGCTATGCGAAGAGTTTATCGAACTGTCACCACGCGAATCGCTCACATTAGTTTCGTAATATTGGGGAAACAAACGAAGTAACAGAGCTGATGGTATGTGATTACTACAGCTCATGGATCTCCTCCTCACAGCTTGTAATTATCTGGCTGTGTAACTCTTAGAAACGGAACGCAATAGTGGTTGCAGGCAATGGTGATGGTGTTGACTCCAGAAAGAGGTAAGAGTGATATATCTTACTAGTGTCCTCGGTAATAAATGAGCCTTGCATCCTAGTTATTGGTAGACGGTATGATTTTACGTGGTAGAGCCATGGTGCAGCTATATTAATAGTATAGTTGTAGCACGAATGCGTCGGCTCGACCGGGGAAGGACCACGCTCTCACAGAATACCAGCCTAAAATAGTAACTTAAAGCTGCTGCGTTTCGTGTGGTGAGAGTAGAGAACCGGAAACCCTTTTTACTGGAAATGAGGCATTCCATCTTAGTCCTCACGGGTGACAACGCAACTGCATTTTGATTCGCAAACGTGGATAGATGTGGATGTCTATGGGCCACAGCAACCACTTACCATCAGGTGGACTGTGTCCTCGTTTGTCACCTTTATACTATAAAAAAATATATTTTTCTACAATAGTAATTAAAAATTTTTACTTTTAAGAAACAAAACAAAAATGTTTCTTTTATAAGATTGGTCTTTTGGAGCTAAGAATGTTATGACAAAAATAATTTAAAAAAGATATTATGACCGTACAACAGTAGCTACTTCTATCACAGATACGACATGGACCGCTTCGGCATGGTGTTCCGCGGTACGCCGCGTCAGACGGACGTTATCATCGTGGCGGGCACCGTCACCAACAAGATGGCACCCGTGTTTCGGAAGACTTACGACCTAATGCCGGACCCCAAGTGGGTGGTCTCGATGGGCAGCTGCGCCAACGGTGGCGGATATTACCACTACACGTACTCAACCGTCCGAGGATGCGATCGGATTGTACCTGTATGTATGAACATTTATAAATTATTTTTCGAAATTATGACATCAACCGTATGTATGTTTAATAAGATAAAAGTAGGTATTACATAATTAGTCCGTTACAGTTCACAGATGGTTACCAATTAGGATAGGGTTCCATCGTAGGAAATATTTGCCATAATCCGAGCTCTTAGGATCCGCCATGCTTAGGAGACATACCAGGGTACTAACTGTTTTGCAAATTTGACGTTGTCTGTAGCCGTTCTGGATATTTTAGATCGGAGTAAAGGGGATGATTACACATCTACTCTGTCAAGATAAATGAAGTATTTTTGGCGAAACCCACGGGAAAACATAGGGTAATGGATTGTCTTATCTATGCCTCATAATGCACAGTACAACCCATTGCTACCGGTAACCTATTTCTTTGTCCTGAACATGATTAAACGTTCAACTTGATAAAAATGAAACTTGTTCAGTATTCGCGTTCGGTCTTGGACTGTGTTTTGTCTATGATACACAGAAATAGTGAATTAAATCAAGGCTACTTCAACACAAAAATTTTATTCCCAAGTAATGATGATTCGATCATGCTTCTGCATGGGGAAATGGTGCCTTGCACAATGACTTTAAATACCTTTATTTCTTAGATATGCAAGTTTTTCTCAAGATACATGTTCTTCGCCATCGACCACGTGGAATATTGAACCAAAATAGAACTAACATTACTCGTGCAATATGAAATTTATAAAGATTATGACATAAGACCAGCGACAACGGTGCAGATTATTTGTTATTTTAATAGCTTTGTGTCCTGTAAAATGACAGTCTGCACTTGTCTTAACGCTGGACAGCGGCAATTGATACCAGAACTCGGTTTGCGAAGTTGCTCGGTTTGTAAGGTGATATAAATTATTGTTCTCTATATTTCTGACAGGTTGACATATATGTGCCGGGGTGTCCGCCCACAGCCGAGGCTCTACTGTATGGCATGCTGCAATTACAGAAAAAGATCAAACGGATGCGTATTTGCCAGGATTGGTATCGGCACTAGACCTCGTTATGTATGCAGTAAAGTATCCCGTTTTAAATATTAATAAATATGTTTTTTTATTATTCTTGGTTTCTATTTAAATTATACCGACACACACCAACGGACAAATAAGCTGAAATGGCAATAGGTCGGCCATTTACTCCGACAACCGATGGATAAGGAAAGTATTCGAGTGGCAGTTCGGTAAGCGAAGTGTAGGGCTGCTCCTCACTAGATGGAGTGACGACCTGCTAAGACATGCAGGAAGTTGAAGGAGGCAGATGGATGGAGGCTCGTCTATGCTTTGAGGCATTTCTTGGGGAAGGCAGTGAACTAGTGAGTTGCTATAATGATAACGATGATTTTATTAAATAATAAACATCATCACCATCATTACAACAACTCACAAGTCCATTGCTAGAACATATCACTGCAATTTAGTTTTCGGAAAAGTATATTGATCTTGCCATTGTACTGTCGGTAAGATGGAATTGATATATGCCCCATAAGCTGTTATTAATTATACTGGCCCTTTAATGGCCGGTTTACACATTATCTCGTAGCTTTAAGCGAGTACATTAGTAGAACTCGAATACGAGAGCTCGGAACAAAAATTAAGTATAATCAAGCGATTTCATTTGACTTTAGTAGAAAGGCGAAACCAGGTGCCGTACAGAACCAAAACATGGTCCTTCGCTACTGACCGTATGAGGAGTTTTGAGTTGCTCAGCGAGCGACAGAGAGTGCTATGTTTAGAGCTTTTCCGCTTGATAAAATCTCAAAAATTGAGGATATCCACTGAAAAACACGAGTAACTGGCATAGACCGGCGATTTAGTAGGCTTCAATGCCCTACGCTCAGCAGAGGACTTATGATGTGATGTAATGATGATGATGAATGAGACCGTTTACACGTTTCTAAATCACTCTACTTAGTAGAGCCACTCTGCAGATTAATGATTGTAGCACGAATAGGACGGCTCGACCGGGGATGGACCACGCTCTCACATAAAACGAGCGTAAAATAGCAGCTTAATGCTGCTGTATTTCTTAAAATGAGCGTAGAGAACTGGAGACCATTTTAAATGGAAACGTGACATTCCATCTTAGTACTTGAGGATGATGGTGCATCTGCATTTTAATTCTTAATCAAGGATAGATGCGGATGATTGAACTTGATGAGATTTTGAACGTGGTAGAGCCATGCTGCAGCTATATCAATTGTATAGTTGTAGCACGAATGGGTCGGCTCGACCGGGGAAGGACCACGCTCTCACAGAATACCAGCGTAAAATAGCAGCTTAACGCTGCTGTCCTTCGTATGGTGAGTGTAGAGAACGCATCTTTATTTTGATTCGCAAACGAAGATAGATATAGATGTTTTTTAACAGTGGTAGAGCCACGCGGCAGCTTTCGCTGTCGCATGGATGGGCCGGCTCGAACCGGGGTGGTACTACGACCTCACAGAAAACCAGCGTGAAGTAGAGGTTTACCTCTGCCTTTCGCTTGGTGAGTGCAGGTGGCCGGAGGCCCTTTTTACTGGATATGAGGCATTCCATCTTAGTCCTCACGGGTGACAACGCATCTACATTTTGATTTGTAATAGAGGATAGATGTAGATGTCTATGGGCCTCAGCAACCACTTACCATCAGGTGTACTGTGTGCTCGTTTGTCACCCTTATCCTATAAAAAAAAAGATGTCTATAGGCCACAGCAACCACTTACCAACAAGTGGACGACTGTGTGCCCGTTTGTCACCCTTATCCTATAAAAAAAGATGTCTATGAGCAACAGCATCAACTACCATCACGGGGACTGTATGCTTATTTGTCACTCTTATAATATTTAAAACTCTCCTAAAAGCTAAGATAATGTAAACCGATCAGCATCCTTTAATTGTAACACAGCATTGAATGCAATGATGCTTGTACCCAGAAATCACTTACCATCAGGTGAGCCGTATGCTCGTTTGTCTTCTATTCCATAAAATAAATACGCACGGACTACTAAACAAAAAAGAGTTGCACCACGTAACATGTTGGTTAGACTTACAATAAAATGACAATTCAGTAAGCTTTCGTAATATAAAGTAATCCCCTAAACGAAATCGACTCTTTCCATCACGATTATCGAGTCCATTGTGCCGAATTGATTCTAAATATCCATAGGCTCATGAATAGGGAATGTTCTCGCAGACGCCTCTACGTTATGCTCCGGCCGTACGAGATACATGCTCCCGGGAATTGTTCCACCTCCCAACAGTTAAGAGTGGTGTTCTAGTATATAAGCGAGCGATTTTGATAAATAAAGTAAACGAACAGAACACAACTTTATTGCATTTATTTATTCTTTGCTGTATTCCCTATTACAAAAGAATGTAAATGGAAGACATTCTGTACTAGTCAATACTGTCCGATAAAAAGGGAAAAATTTAAAGTGACCATATAAGGGAACCGGTCCTTAAATTGTATTAAATTAGCAACGAGATAAGCCTGTGCTTGTCGCGTGTTGAAAAAGATTTGTTCTTGGCAAACGCCTACTGGCAAGCTATCTTGGGCACTGCCATCCGTCACTGATCTACATATTTTAGTACTAGTACGTTTAAACTGATCAAAACCGTCACGTAGTCTAATATGCATACGATACAAATACAATATAAAATAGCAGCAAAATTTTGCGGCGTTTGTATAGTGAATTTTTTTTATAGGATATGGTGACAAACGAGCACACAGTCCACCTGATGGTAAGTGGTTGCTGTGGCCCATAGACATCTACATCTGTCCTCGTTTGCGAATCAAAATGCAGATGCGTTGTCAGCTGTGAGGACTAAGATGGAATGACTCGTTTCCAGTAAAAAGGGTCTCCGGTTCTCTACACTCACCATACGAAACACAGCAGTGTTAATCTGCTATTTAACGCTGGTATTCTGTGAGAGCGTGGTCCTTCCCCGGTCGAGCCGACCCATTCCTGCTACAACTATACTACTAATATAGCTGCAGTATGGCTCTACCATGTATGAATAACGAGAAGAGAAGACTTTTACACCGGTAACAAGGCATACGTTTTCATAGAATGTAAGCTCGTTTGTCATCCTAATTTGAATAAAGCTAGCTACTGTTAGCGCGTAGGTGGCTAACGGATTCCATTAAACCGTGTGGTGGCGGCTTAAAAGATGTATAAAAGAAATGCTAGACCTTCTAACAGATGATAGTGTACCAACTAGTTACCGTTACAGCCTAAAGTCCGCTGCTGATCAAAGTCCTCCATAGATTGCCTCATATGGGGGATATTTGATATAGTTTGGCAACTATGCGGTTGGCAAGCGGGTTGCGAACCGCAGTTTTTTTTTATTTTTAGTCATTTTTAGGAAGACGCTGCTGCCCATCTCCTGATTTGTTTCCCTCTGTCATCTCTTACGAAATTCACGGGATGATATGGGATAGTGGATTTTTTCTACACCGCCACTACACGGTACTTTTCAGCACATTCACAGCGCGACGCTATGTCTATGTCAGTTCTCGAAGCTCAGTTCAGTTTTAGACTTTGTGGCGATCAATGTAAGAGAGAACACTATGATTGCTGGAAATCAGTGTGGCATGCTATGATGATGATTCTGTGAAATTTAAATGCAACTTACATAGTAATTTCCATTAGAATAAGGACATATAATAATTCTAAATACATAATATGTGTAATGATAAACGATGCTCCCACATTCCAAATAGGAAAATGTGCCGGAAAATGCGGAATTCATTACGGAAACGGAGGGCGTACGCAAATTCCACGCCCCGGTTGCTGGGCGCTCTGCCACGAATATGTATTAATTAATTTTACATTGTTTACACAAAGAGATGAAATGTATGTCTAATAGAACTGTAGAGTACTCTAATTATATCCCCAAGAAGACATTTATGTTAAATTAATTTTTGAACCGTTAGATTGTTGTGAACAAATGAAGCCAAGAGACAATAACAGAGATGGCGCGGTAGCTCGGGTTTAAGCGTTTACAGTAAATTTCATTGTACGCGAGCAACTTGATTTCGATCCCCGCTAACACGAAAGAAATTTTTAAATGCAACTTTAAGTTCTGATTCACCATTTACTCGGCGGTGAAGGAAAACATAGTGAGAAATCCTGCATATCTGAGAAATAAAAAACATTTCAAGGACGTGTGTGTTCAAGGAGTCTCCGCTACTACGCATTAGAGTGCCAACTCCTCCATAACACTCCAAAAAAGGAGACACATATTATTTTGCCCAGCTATTAATTTGGACTCTGGTTACAGAAACAATCGTTCTATCTTTTGTTTCCCAGTATTTTAAATACTACTCTTTAATACTAGTCTTTCCCGATCAACTTCAAGAAAAGGGGGGAGGTTCTCAAATCGTCGGACTATTTTTTATGTATGCTGAACGATAATTCTTTACTATTCTTCGTTGGCCGATTTCAATGGTTCTTTTTTGTTTGCAATGGGTGGTCCTATATAAATTTCGTGACGATCTGATGATGAAATCATCAAACTATTTAATTTACAAAGCTTTTAAAATCTCTCAAAGTATGGAATTTGTCAGCAAATGTCAAATTTAGCGAAGACTGTGGCGTTGCGTCGCTCTCGCTTATGAGGATTGTAAAGCTGTAAATTTTCATACAAAAAGCGATGACGTTTCCCCCCGTAAGGTTAGTCTAAATTTCATAATTTTTGGAAGTGTTGTAGATATAATGATAAGCTAGGTTCAACTTTTATTTTAAAGTAATATTACGTACGATATAAGTTATTTACATCCAAATGTCTATATTTTTGACTAAACAACTTCCTGGAGCGTTCCTATTTTTTATTAAATTAAATTACTAAAAAATAAAAACGTACAGGCCAAAACTGTCTCATTTCATAAATGTTTAGGGGGTAACGTTAGTTGTAACGTTATCGCCCGAAAAAATATTTGAAAAAGGAAATGTAGGCAATTGCTTCAAGACTAGCAACTCTCTCAATCGCACGAGGAGGGATGCAGAGCGAGCGGTAT